CTCATGAAGTTCAACAAGGCCAAATGCAAGGCCCTGAACGTGGGTCGGGGCAATCCCAAGCACAAGTACAGGCTGGGCAGAGAATGGATTGAGAGCAGTCCTCAGGAAAAGGACTTGGGAGTGCTGGTGGATGAGAAGCTGAACATGAGCTGGCAATGTGCACTGGCAGCCCAGAAAGCCAACCGTATCCTGGGCTGCATCAAAAGAAGTGTGGCCAGCAGGTCGAGGGAAGGGATTCTGCCCCTCTGCTCTGCTCTTGTGAGACCCCACCTGGAGTACTGTGTTCAGCTCTGGAGTCCCCAACACAAGAAGGACATGGAGCTGCTGGAGCGGGTCCAGAGGAGGGCCACGAAGATGATCCGAGGGCTGGAGCACCTCTGCTATGAAGCCAGGCTGAGAGAGTTGGGGCTGTTCAGCCCGGAGAAGAGAAGGCTCCCGGGTGATCTTATTGCAGCCTTCCAGTACTTAAAGGGGACCTACAGGAAAGCTGGAGAGGGACTTTTTACAAAGGTATGTAGTGACAGGACAAGGGGCAATGGATTTAAACTGAAAGAGGGCAGATTTAGATTAGACATAAGGAAGAAATTCTTCACTCTGAGGGTGGTGAGGCACTGGAACAGACTGCCCAGCGAAATTGTGGATGCCCCATCCCTGGAAGTGTTCAAGGCCAGGTTGGATGAGGCTTTGAGCAACCTAGTGTAGTGGGGGGTGTCCCTGCCCACGGCAGCGGGGTTGGAACTAGATGATCTTTGAGGTCCCTTCCAACCCAAACCATTCTATGATTCTATACACTCTGCAGAGAAGACAATATTGTTTCCTAGCTTCTGTTCACTGTTCTGCTTTTTGCACAGTAGTATTCCAGTGCTGTTTTGCTTAGTATACTGTGAATGTGATAGCCTCTCTCAAGAACTCCACTTGCTCCATTAACTTGCTAATGATTTCAATAGGAAATCAAAATAAGCTCTCTTTACAGAAGACTGCTGGCATGTAACTTTTTTGTAAAGAGAAGAAATGAGAAATTTTCAAGCAAGCAAGCAAAAATACTACTACTACTTTTGGAAAAATATACTTGCTTTCAAATTTGCGGCCATCATATTGGAAGGCGCTGAAAGAGTCAGAGTGGCTATCTGAACTGATGAGGTCACTGCTGCCTGCGCTGGCAGGTGATGTCCATTCGGAAGGCACACCTGGGTCATCTATAGGGCGCATTTGGTTCTGTTTGTTCAATATATCAGGAAGGTCTTTAGGAACTTCCAGACTGCCAGGACTGCTTCCTCTTCTTGTTACATTCTAAACATCAAAGAGACATAAATTATGTTACAGTCTTGGATGACTTATTTACATAAAATGGAAAAAGCAATCTCGCCTTAGCAAATGTCAGAAACGAACAAATAGTTCGTAAGTACCTAATGCAGAAACTGTCATCGTGCTACATACCTAGCCAAGACTTTCCAAAACTCCAGACAGGTAGCAGGAAGTGAAGTACCCATGCAGTCACAGAATTTCATAAATACACATTTTATTTGCACCATGAATTTTTGGGCACATACCTTAAAACGCTAGGATTCAGACTAGCATGTGCCACACACGTATTAGGTAAAACTTCAGAGAGAAAAATAGTAAAAAAGTTTATTATCTCCAGATTATGTCTAAATTACTAAAGAAAATGTGTTACTTTTTGTTCCAGGCACAAGCAGGGAAAAAAAGGTCAAGGAATTTTCTGTTTTCTGGCCTAGAGGCTACCAGGCCAGAAACAAAAAATTAATGTACACCACAAGTAAGTGAATTTACTAATTCATGCATTAATTTTCTTATGATTAAGCCAAAACCTTGGTACTGTCTTGGACACCAAACACAGCATGTAGCAGAAGTAAAGCATATAGATCTGCTCATGTAAAAGTAAGGTGGTTTCTACTTGGAGTCTTTCTTTAAGCCACTTTTTTCATAGATAAGACCGTTTGCTTGAGAAGGAAGAGAGATAAAAGTAGAAAAGTCATCTTATAAAATGGCTTGAAATATGACTATGAGACTGGAGATTACTTCCTTTTACACAAAGCCCAGTCACTTCTCTGTTCTTTTACTACTCTACTACTAATTAGAGATTTACTCAGACTGAAAGACTGAAAAGCTTTTCACCATACAAGGTTTTAGCCTTTAAGAGATATAACAAACTAAACTCTTAATAAGTTGGTACTCTGTTTTAAGACAGCATATCTATTTTTGTGTGCTAGATTACAAAATCAGCGGCAGCTTCAAAGTGTTTATTCAAACCTATCTTGGCTGTTTTTTGCTACCTAAGGAAAGTATAAATTCTCTTGTCTGAGCTATTAATAATCGATATTCTTGCCCATCTATGTGAAAACAAATAGCGTTCACTTTCTCTCTTCTTCTGTGGCCAGCTGTGATGATTTTTATTTTATTAATTTGCAGACTAAGTTAACATCTTTTTGTAGACTTCAAGTTAGCATTTTCATCTTGTAACCTAAGACTTACTAACAAGAACACTTTGCACCAACAATCAATTTTCATAAACATGAGTTCAATACAAAAGAGAAAAAAGCATACATTTGAACAAACTCTGTAGGTCCTCTCTTGCTGCTTATAAAAGATGATGACAAATTTTTCTAATCACTTTGAAGAATCTTATTCTGCCCTTTATTAGCAACAACTAAACTACTTGTCGACAGCTTTCTACAGGAGCATGTCTTAAAATCATGTTCTTAAATATCTTTAAAAATTCTAAGCAGAAAAAAGAACGTAACAACTCTGAAACACTACATTTAAATTGTTACCCATTCTGTTCTTCATTTACAACTTCTTTTTTTAATATTTCCCCTTTTGTTGTTAGTTAATAAAACACTTATTCTCTTTTTATCTCTTCAAATCAGTTGTCTTGTTCTGTAAGCATTCAACAATTTAACCAGAAACTCTTGACTTAAAACTGATTAAAATTTCTCATTATGAATGACATTCCAAACTACATGACACTTCTGGAAAAGCGCGGGACGAAAGCGTAGGAAAAGTTAGTTCAAATAGCTGAGAACTATTTACAAGAAATTATTCAACACTTATAAGTGAAACAAAAAAAAATGAAAGCAAAAACACATACTGGTGTCATTTCATAGCCTGCTGCACTGACTATAACTGTAGAGAATAGTACCATACTACAGCAGAGTACCTGCATGCTATGCTGAGGACTGCAAATTTACATATAAACTAGTATTCTGAAAAAGATCTGCACAGGTACAATTAAGGCCCTTTAATTCAATGAGACTATTCATCTGACAGTAACTTCTGCATTGCTTCCATAATGAAGATTTCACAGATATGAAAACACAAATGGCATGAAATGGCATGAATCTATGTGAAAGACAAGGAATAATTAAATGATATTCTTAATTCTTTCTGATTCATAAAATCCAGAGAATTATGTTTTAGTTAACTGATTTATAACGTTGTTGATGATTTCACGTAAAAAAGCAGACTTACGTATTAAAATGTAGGAAGTCTAAAGGCTTACCAGTGCACTACCACTGCGGAGTCTCTCAGCTATAAATTCATCCATGAGGTCAGGAACATTTGTATTGCTACTGCCAATATCACTATCAATAGGGTGCAGCTTTTGACTCATGTCCTCTCTATTAGCTAAAAGCAAACGAACAACTGTATATAGTAAAGAACACATCACGACATTTTAAAAAAAAAGGTAAAAAATGAAAAAAAACCCCCGCTAATTAACAGAAATAAAAAACCCAAACCAAAATGAAACACAAAAAAAACCTCACAAAATTGCCAAACATGCATTTTAAGAATTTCCCTCTTTTAAAGCAGATTCTACTTTAAGAATTAGTATGGCTTCTTCTTCCCACTAAGCAGGGGTTAGTCGATTTCCAGTACCACCTTTAAGAGCAAGAAGCTTATAGGTAAGCACTACTTAAAGTTGTTAATGCTTGCTTTAAGGATACAGCATATATTCTTCCTCCATATCACAAAAAAAAAAGCAATAAATCCTAAAAATTTTATATGATTCCTACAGGCTCCTTCTTCATTGCATTGCTAATGAAGAGCAATGTAGTGGAAAAAGTAAACTAAATTGTAATATGTACTAATGACAAATGTCACTGTGGCACCGTATACAGTTAGTATAAATAGTGCAAACAAAATCTTACATTATAAAATTACATGCTAGGACATGGGATGAAAATTCAACTCTGGATGGTCAAGGGTTATGAACAATTAATTAAGTTCACTCATTTATCAATGTTATATTTTTGATACAACTATTCATAGCTCATAGTTCATATTTAACTGTGGCTGTTACACCTGACTTCATGATCTTCACCTTTAAAGTCTTCAAGTTATTCCAGTTCATGTTTTCTCTGTAAGAATTTTTCCCTCAGTGTCATCTCTCATGAGACCGCAGTGTAGTTTATTCTAATATTGAGGCTCTGTTAAATGCTACAGATTTCAAATAAAATGTACTTCTAAAATTAGTGCTTTCTCAATACCTCTTTTTCAGAAGTCTACATTCTGCAGAGAAGTAAATTGCTTTTTTGAGACCTATGACAGTCAAGCTCTCTTGGTGCTACGCTTACAAAGACTGCCCTCAGGTGGCATTAACATCTCGATGCAGGATGCATTACAGAATCCTCTGTTAATCATGCCATAGCATAACAATGGGAAAAAAGAAAACCTACATTACTGCTGAAAGTTAATTTATTGTTCATTTAAGGTTATTTAATAAGTGAACTAAGATGATGGATATTAGAATGACAGCCTTCTTTTTGGATCAGTCCACAGAGGTCTCATAGTTAGCAGGAGAAGGGCTATCATGAGACCTTCATGAACATCCATGATTCCAAGAAAAAAGAAAGCAATGAAAGATGTCACAAAGATGCAACTGCATCCATTTTGATGAACAAATACAGAAAGGCCTACAGCATGTCTTGAAAAAGATTGAAACAAAACCTCATGATTAGACTCACAGAGAACTGTTGTAATGAAATCATTCCAGTAATACGAGATTTCTGTTTAAGACTATTTTTTAAGTTATCTAAACCAACCTCCAAATGTAAATTTGAGGGGCTTTTTTGTTTTGGAGGAGGAAAACGAGGAAGAGGAGGAGGAGGAGGAAGAAGAAAACACACTAAATGAACCAGAAACATAATTAGTTCAACCTAGCTCATTGAGAGCCAGGTCCTTCTGACAAACAAACTACACTCAGAGATGAATAGCACATTCTGATAAAATAAGCATATGCCAATCATTCAGTAGGTTGAATTTAAGGCTCTGCATGGTAGATGAAAAACCAAAAGTCTCAAGGTTTAATCCTTTCTTAGGTCATTTACTGTCTCTTCCTCTTCCCTAACCCGATGGTCTTCAGCAGCAAAGAGGTTCAACTAAATATCTTGAAAAGGGAAATTAGTAATTTAAAGTATGTAAAAGTAACTTATGCTGGGAGAAAAATCAGCTGGCTGAAGGCGCATGCATAACCAAACAGGGAAAGCAGTGATCATCCCAAAGCCTTTTGATTGCTTATCAGAGCTTGCTTCAGTTGCATTAAGCCAAACTGGTGCTGCCTTTCTTCTTTTGCGCTCTGCACACTGTTAGTGCTCACCTGCAGCTTTCCTTCCAAAATAGCCCATTACATGACTGTACAGATCCCTCAGTGGAGCCTCTGCTGGCATTCTGTTCTGCCTCTGTGGGGAAACATTTGCCTTCGGCTTCGAAAGAGCATGTACAACAGTTTTATAAACACCACCCAGGGAGCCCTGCTGTTGCGCTGACTCCTGACCTGATGCTCTAAAGGCACCACGATTGTGGCACTGATTAACTGCAATACTTTCTTTTTGCAATATGGCTGCTTGAGTTTCTGTAGATTCCTTAATTTGCTTGCTGCCAGCTGAAGCAGCATCGATCACACCTAGAGGTCTATATATTCCAGGTCTAACCAGCTCCGTGACAGCTGATGAGCTGGTGCTCACACTGGTGCTGCTGTTGCTGCTACCACTACTGCTACTACTGAAGCCACTGAGTTTACGAAGTCTTGTTTTCCAAGCAGCCTCTTTGTTCTCAAGAGGATTGTAAAATTGAACCGATTCTGTAGATGGCCTAAAAGTAACATGAACACTATTTCTCTTTTTAGTCGTTATTTTCATGATTTTGGCCCTATGAGTTACAGTTTCAGATAAACTCCGTTTAGTTGGTGACGGTTTGCTTGTGCCTGTGATGTGAGACATTTGAGGGTTAACTTGTGCTTTAGGAAGAATTTTCTTTGCATGCATAACACGTGAGTTGGTTACTTTTTCATTAAACTGGGCACTTTTATGCTTTTCAGCTACTGCTGCTTCCACAGCTAAATCTACATCAGCTTCAGTGGCTGCTTGCCTGTACAGATATCTCTTCCCTTCTTTGCTGCTAGGACTACTTGACCCATGATTGAACACGCTTTCATACTGTTTATCAATATTTAACTGTCTGGCTTTATCGAGCGCTTGATTTCTTGTAAAAATGTCTACTTGATTAGGTGCAATGTTACTTATAAAGCCACTTTGGTTTTGTTCTAGATGCAGCTCTGTGTTATCGGCTCTTTCTGTAACAGTGATGCTATTCGCGCATTGACCAGTCTGATCTCTATTTTCTAATCCATCCAGTGGTAATCTATCATTCCTATTCACTGATGTATCAACTTCATGAGCAGAAGCCTCACATTTATCTATCTCAAAGTTACCGCAAAGTTCTTCATTTTCTTTAAGGTATTCTCTCAGAGAGGAAAGAAGATCATCTTCACCTTCAAGGTCAACATACTGGTTTTGTTCAAAGGCTGTGTTTGCAAATTCTACCGGCCCTATTAAATGACAAAGATGGTCATAAATACTATCCCCAACTTCCAAGGAGGACTCTCTGCTATTTGTATCAGTGATATGGCTTTCAGTGGATCTATGCATTGAAGAGGTCTCAGTGGAACTCTGTAAGCTTGGAGCATGATGGGATGAACTGTCAATGACAGGAACTGCACCTTTGGCTCGTTCAACTGCGAATGGTTCCAGGATGTCAGAGGTGCTGCTGCTTCGTGGCAGTGGCTGTTCCTCATTTAATGCACCAAAAACTTCACTTGGAGCATCCTCACTCTGTGAAAAATGTCTGACTCGAGGTGGACGTGGAAGAATTTGAGCATCGTCAATGTCTGTAGGAAAAAAGTATATGTAACGTGCACTAAAATTTACATACAGAGACAATATTTATTTACCACTACATCCTAATTACATGACTTTAAAAGCCAGGAAAGTCCAGAGCCTTGTTTTCTTAAAATACAACAAAAATATTTTTTTCCAGTACTAGTGTTAAAAACACACGCACATAATATCCAGTACAGAATGTAATATAAATGAGTTAGACCTTCAGAACACAGTTTTAAATGTTAACATGCATGAGAACAAACAGTGAGACCATGGAACATTTGGAAATACAGTTAAAGCTAGGGCTGTGCCAATAAGTTCAATAATTCAACCAATATTCCATTAGCATTATTCCAGCTAGCTTGTTCACGAAATGGTTACCTGGAATACAAATTAGCTTAACAGTAGTACCCGTCATGGAATTTACATCTTCAGAAAAATGCATAACTCCAAAGAGAACAAGTAAGTTTTCTGGAAAATTCTAATTGTCTATTGAAGTGGCAAACTACTCCTTTTTTCGTAACTTGTGCGCATATATATGATTTACCGAACTATCAGAAAGAATACTATCATAGAATTATGAATATTATGGCATAGGTAATATAGCGTATACCTAAAGACTAAAGTTTCTAAATGACAGGGAAGAGCTGGCCCTCTATGGAAAAGACAGCTATACATAATGGACAATTTGAAGATGTACCCTTTTTCCTAGAAGAATGTTTTGTCTCTCACCTTCAAAATGCAAAATTAAATACTAAATGGAGGCCTATCTCCCCCTCTTCTTCCAGTTTTACTCAAGCAAATATGACATCTATGGGAAACATCAAATTAAGGACTCTGTTACTGAAAAACATCCTGCAGTCTCACAACAGTTAACATTAGAGTAAAACCACTTTTGTTTATGAAAAGACCAGAACTTTTGTTATGACCATTTAAATCAGTGATTCCTTTCGGCAGTGAGACTGCTAATACGTTAGCATTGGTACAAATCATAGTTAACTAATGAAAGCTGCCGTTCCAATATGGATCACCTAGGAATTGTACAGAAGTATCTTCAGCTCACTTCACATTATCCACCAAAATAAAGAACCTTCACACTTCGCTTCAGATTTCCTGGTATGTTATAGGAACACTACATACTATCAAATCACTGGTGTAGGCAAGACTAGGCATCTCTTACAGATAATCCAACTAATTGCAAGAATTTGAGCTATCCCTTGCAGTCTTTTTATGGGATAGGCACTTGAACAGTAAGGTAAAAACAACTTTCTCCATTTTCTATTGGTTTCTTTTTGATAGAATCCCCTATTCCTCAGATTTCTTTTTACTACTTGCCACTTAAAAAGTCATAGATATGCTTATAACAATAAAGAGCTTAAATGAACACCAACGAGAGTTACTTGCCACAATAAAGACTTACCTTGCTGTTCTACCTAGAGGGTTTATCTTCAAGACTACGGTGGTGAATTTACTTAAAATGACCACAAAATTTAAGACCCTTTTCCTCCCCTAAATCTGATGTGTTACTGCCAAAACAAGCATTTCAAATTATTCATGGATGTCTATACCTATTTCAATAATATTTAATAACGATAATCCAAAGTCACCTTAAAAATCTGTTGTAAAGTGCTCACAGTTTTCTAAGAATTTTAGAGCTGGAGCTGAATTTTCTCAAATTTTTCTTCTGAGCAAAGCATACAAACTGGAGGAATGAGACACATCTGTACTTAACTAAATGGAAGTGCTGGAAGAAGATGAAAAGTGATGTTTCCATGCTTAATTTTTCAGAGAAGTTAAAATTTGAAAATTAACGTTTAGCCTGATACAATGTTTACTGAACTGTAAAGAAGCCATTAGACAGGAAATAGAGAGGTCTATATTGGAAAAACAGAGTAATCCAAGCTATTTCAGAAAATAAAAATGAACTGAAAATCACCATATATGGCACAATTTATTATCCCTTTCCACTCCAGCTTTGATAACCAACAAATTTCTCACCATTGTTCTTGTCCAGCTTATCATTAACTTTACGAACTTACACCTTCTGAAATGAACGGTGTTGGTCTCTAGTTGGAACTGTTATTTCAAACTCTCTATTGACTAAGGCAGAGATTAACACAGGTTATTCTTAGATACTCTCAAAGCTATTTCTTAGAGCTGCAAAGAAAGGACCTTAGGACGCAGCCAAAAATGTGTATGACAATGCTATATACGAGATTAATATCATAGAATCATAGAATGGTTTGGGTTGGAAAGAACCTTAAAGATCATCTAGTTCAACCCCCCACTGCCATGGGCAGGGAACCCTTCCACTAATCAGGTTGCTCAAAGCCTCATCCAACCTGGCCTTGAACACTTCCAGGGATGAGGCAGCTACAACTTCTCTGGGCAACCTGTTCCAGTGCCTCACCACCCTCTGAGTGAAAAATTTCTTCCTTAGATCTAATCGAAATCTACCCTCTTGCAGTTTAAAGTCATTGCTCCTTGTCTTGTCACTATATGCCCTTGTAAAAAGTCCCTGGAAGGCTGCTAAAAGGTCTCCCCAGAGCCTTCTCTTCTCCAGGCTGAACAGCCCCAACTCTCTCAGCCTGTCTTCACAGGCAGAGTGCTCCTCCAGCACTCTGATCATCTTTGTGGCCCTCCTCTGAACCCACTCCAACAGCTCCATGTCCTTCTTATGTTGGGGACTCCAGAGCTGAACACAGTACTGCAGGTGGGGTCTCACAAGAGCAGAGTAGAGGGGCAGAATCACCTCCCTCAACCTGCTGGTCACGCTTCTTTTGATACAGCCCAGGACACAGTTGGCTTTCTGGGCTGCAAGCGCACATTGTCGGCTCATGTTGAGCTTCTCATCAACCAACGCCCCTAAGTCCTTCTCCTCAGGGCTGCTCTCAAACCATTCTCCACTGAGACTGTATTTGTGATTGGGATTGCCCTGACCCATGGGCAGGACCTTGCACTTGGCCTTATTGAACTTCATGAAGTTCACATAGGCCCACCTCTCCAGCCTGTCAAGGTCCCTCTGGATGGTGCCCTTCCCTCCAGCACGTTGACCACATCACGCAGCTTGGTGTTGTCAGCAAACTTGCTGAGGGCGCAGTTGATCCCACTATCCGTGTCCTGACAAAGATGCTAAACAGCGCTGGACTCAATACTAACCCCTGAGGAATGTTATTTGCCACTGGTCTCCACTTAGACATCGAGCCATTGACCACAACTCTTTGAGTGCGACCATCCAGCCAATTCCTTATCATTCAAGTGGTCCATCTGTCAAATCCACATCTCTTCAATTCAGAGACAAGGATGTCATGCAGGTTAGCGTCAAATGCTTTGCCCATGTCCTGGTAGATAATGTCAGTTGCTCTTCCCTTATCCATCAATACTGTAATCCTGTCATAGGCCACCAAATTTGTCAGGCATGGTTTGCCCTTAGTGAAGCCATGTTAGCTGTCACCAATCACCTCCTTTTTTTTCTACGAGCCTTAGCATAGTTGCCAGGAGGATCTGCTCATGATCTTGCCAAGCACGGAGGTGAGACTGACTGGCCTGTAGTTCCCTGGGTCTTCCTTTTTTCCCTTTTTAAAAATAGGGGCTATGTTTCCCCTTTTCCAGTCAGTGGGAACTTCACCGGACTGCCATGACTTCTCAAATATGATGGATAGTGGCTCAGCAACTTCATCTGCCAGTTCCCATAGTTACATATATGTAACTATGATACATCAATCTCAGTTTAAGCCCTCAATATGAATCTTTCATACCTTTTATAGACTCAAGCTTATCTAAAGCAGCAGCCTGAGGATTGTACACTGTGCATGCATGCAGTGATTATGATTTTCTAGGATGTTAAAAATTACTGAATGGAGAACTCCAAATGCACACCAAGCAGCTCCACGCATTGAAACAAATTCAGCTAGATTTATTTCAATGTTGATCCAATATTAATTTTAGGTGCTTATATATGCATGACTAGCACCTACAAGTACACAAACATTTTCAAACAAACATGTAGTGCTTGTGCCAATAAAGATTTCCTTTTTGTAGAACAGAGGAAGAAATTAAAAAAATTAATAATATACTGTTCATATATTTCATAGATTTCATAGATTTTCTAGGTTGGAAAAGACCTTAGAGATCATCCAGTCAAACCGTCCCTAATCTCCCATTAAACCATATCCCTAAGTAGTTCATCCACCCTTTTCTTAAAACACATCCAGGGATGGGGACTCAACCACCTCCCTGGGCAGCCTATTCCAGTGGCTGACAACCCTTTCAGAGAAGAAATACTTTCTAACATCCAACCTGAATCTCCCCTGACTAAGCTTATACCCATTTCCTCTTGTTCTGTCACCCATCACTAATGTAAAGAGCCCTTCCCCCACCTCCCCACCATCCCTTCTCAAGTATTTGTAGGCTGTAATCAGGTCTCCCCTCAGCCTCCTCTTCTCCAGGCTAAACAGCCCCAACTCCCTCAGCCGCTCCCCATAAGTTTTATGTACCAACCCCTTGACCAGTTTAGTTGTCCTTCTCTGGACCCGCTCCAGGAGCTCAACACCTCTCTTAAAGCGAGGGGCCCAAAACTGGACACAATATTCCAGGTGCGGCCTCACCAGTGCCGAGTACAGGGGCAGGATCACTTCCCTGTTCGTGCTGGTCACACTATTCTTGATACA